CTTAACTTCACAGCATTTGAGGTCTTGGGTAATTTTTTTGGAGACTTCTTTATATGCTAAGATTCAGGCCAGTGACACTTGTCTATATTCACTGGATCTTGTAGTTCACAGGTGCAGAGGTTTCTCTTACATGTTTAATTTGGTCCATATTTTCCAGATAGGAACTTGCAATACCTGGTTGTAAAGAAGTAAAAGCAAAGCTGAAACAACAATTACTTGTTAGAAACTGACTTTTTAATATCTATTTTTTCTGTATTTGTTTGATTTAAAGCTAAACCTAAGTATTTTTGTGGGTAAAATTGATATGCATCATTTTACCATGAAGATTGTTTTATGTGGTTTGTGATGAATAGCACTTTCTCTTCTTTTTGAAAAGCTAAGTTTATTGCAAAGTGTTACAACTACATGCCTGCATGCTTTGCATGTACGGAAAATTCTCTGAATTTCCTGAGAGACTGAAACAAATGTATAAAGTGAGACAAGTTTTAGTAATCATATTTTAAAAACTTATTTTTTTCTGGAGTAGGCTTTATAGTTCTGAGCTTGGTATTATTAAAAAAGGCCCTCTAGGAACTCTGACAATCATAACAGTACTAACTTTGCTAAAATATACCGGAGACAGATTTCTCCAGCAACAATTTAGGAAATCTGTCTGGAAGTAGTCCATGAACTTCTGAATAGGGAGCTACATGATGTTGCTTAAGTTCATGAATGATCTTTTCAGCAAAGCCTCTCCTTGGATTATGTGTCTTTGATGTGTTTTGTTTGAAGTAGTAAAGAGTCAATTTATTCAACAAAGTGTCTCCTTAACCATGCCAAAGCTCAGCTTCCCGGGAGGAAAAAAAAAATGCGAAGTTATGAATATTCTGATAACACCAGAGGAGGCCTGACTGAACATACACTTTTGTTGTATGTTTTATGTATGCATATTTTGAAGTCTTTGAGACTACCATCACTAACCATGTCAACCTGTGTACTTTCACATACTGAGTTTAACAAATATTTGGAATTTTTGTTCAGAGAATCTGAAGAGCAAAGATGCAGAATTTGCCTGGGTGAACTGACATCTTGCAAAGTGTATTTTGCAGAATAGGCAGAAAAGAGCTCCTGATTCTCTACCACTTTTGACAGTAGAGAATCAATACCACTGCTGTTTGGGGTAGCTTTAATTTGGAGATGAAAATCCTCAAGGATCCTTTTGATAGACACTGTTTAGAAAATACATGCTCTTCTTGTCATCTCAATATTGATGTCAACTTTTTTAGGTACCTGTTGCAATTACATTTCATGAAGAAAGGGAAAATGTGTGTGTTTTCTGCTACTATACCAACTCTTAGCATATGAGACAACCTTCACTTTGTCAAGGGTAATTCTGAACTGTAGTTTGTTGGTTTTTAAATAATATATACTGGGTGGCTAAAGGGTTATTAAGCTTTCTGGTTTTATTTTCCTAAAGGGATTGTGCATCTTTACTTTGAAAATTTTAAGTACGTATCTTAAACTTCCAGAGTATTTGATAAATAGATACGGGTTTAATTTATCAATTGATTAGGTATTGATCCACCTACGTATATTGTTACATCTCACTGTAAAACTCCTTGGAACAATTAAACTAGATTTATAAAGTTTGGTGGGGGGTGGGTTGTGTTTTTTTTTTTTACTTCAAGTTTGAAGAAATGGAAAAAAGACTAAAGTATATCTTTAGCAAGTAATTGCTATGATAGTTTTTCCACAAGCCTCATGGCTAAAACATCATGTATACCTATTGATTCCAAGAGAAGTTCCTTAAAAGAAGTGTGAATTAGTAACATCAGTCATGGATTTTATGACTTAATCCATGTAGACTTTATCACATACAGACCTTCAAAATTGACTAATAGTCAGCATATTATACCCAGAATAGTGGTTACATATCTTCAGTTTTGAAACTTGTTCTTTCATAAATATATATGTGTATACCAGAGCTTTAGCTCTGTTTAGCTCGGAGGTTCAATTCTTTGCAAACAATCTGATACAGTAGAGACTTTTCATTTTCAGTGTGTCTTCCCATCTACTCTTTTCAGGAAATGTGATCATAGTCTTCAGCTTGCTTCTAAGCCAAAGGAGCCCCATCAGTCCTGCTTGAACTAGTCCCGTGGCTTTTATAAAGGTGTTTTTCTTCTTAGACTTAGAAAGGGAATTTATTCTCCATCCTGTCTTCATGTGCTTGTGCTTCGGTCTTAGAAGGCTTTGCCAGCAGTTTCACTGATAATTATTGGTAGTCCTCTTTCCTCACAGGCTTCCTTAGCACCTCAACCAGATTATTCTTAAATTGGCTTGGTTGTTAGTTTTAACATGCTCTGAAAGAAAAGAATGCTGTAAATATGGACTGGATGCAATTATACACATAATCATACACACATACATAAATAGAAGGTTGACTTTCATCTTGGATTTTACAATGGAAATAAACTGAAATCGTAACTAGCACATTCATAGTGCATTTATGCGATGCAATATGAATATTAACTATAATTACACTGGACTGTGAGAACATGTTATTGGCATTGATGTGTTCACATTTTCTGAACTTTCGATAGTTTTCTGGAAAACTGTTCAGAGCTGAGCTGATGCACTGCAATATATATAAGAAATAGATGAATCAAATAACACCAAACTCACTGACTTCTGTGGCTGTTTGACAGCATATGGTATGTGACATTTTATTCTATGTCGATTGAGGATTCCAATCAATAGCTCTTTGTGAGGTACAGTCAGCTCTAGTTAAGTTGCAGCCACACCTTTACCACTTCTTTAGAGGCATTGTGAAACACACCTTTCTACAGGAGCTGTTACAGTAATTGAAAATAGATGCCTTTTAACAACTTTAAAGAGAAGGAGTAAGAAAACTTACAACCCAGAATGCTAGATCTAGAAGAAAAGAGAAACTATATTGGGTCAGACCAAAGTTCCATCTACCCTAGTACATTATCTCTCACGGGGACTAACAGTCAATGCTCAGGGGGGCGGGGGAGCGGATGAAGTGTATGCGTGTATGGCTACTTCCCCCAAGTATTCTGTTAGCCTCCAGTCATTTGTAGCTTAGAGACTTTCTGATTTCTCAGTGTTTAGTAGCCCTGAGATGTTTGGTTTTTGTTGTTTTTTGTCATGAATTAATATAATCTTCACTGGAGCCTATGTGAATTTTTTGCATCCAAAACACTCCACTGCAAGGTGTTTCACAGCTTAACGATGTTTTGCATGAAAAATCGTTTCTCCTCATTTGTTTCGAATTAGCCATCTCTGTGTTTCTTTGGATACTTCCTACCTTCTGATGACTCATTACTGTCTTCAGCATTCAGATACTGTGATAGTGGGCACTAGAAATTCTGAAGATAGGTGTTGTATAACAATAATTGTTTTGATTTTTAACATCTGGCTTCTAAAATCTATATACACACTATCTCTGGGTGTTTTGGTCTTTGGGAGCAGATGTTCACTGTAGTTCCTTTCAACATGTTTCTGTCTCTTACATCCTACGGTAATGGGTGAAAATAAGCAACTTGGCAACTACTCAGGCCTTTCAATAGACTTCTTAAAGTTGGAGAATCATTGCATCTCTTGTGGCACCAGACCAGCAGCTACCTATCAATACATCGCTCTTTTCCCCTTATGTATGGATTCCTTGCTCCCTTTTTATTTTTTAAAGCTTTAGCTTATTTATCACAAAAATAACTTTAGCTTTTCTTTTTCTTTAGTAAAGTTAGCAGGTCCTTAAGCATAGTAAATCAAGTCCAAAGTAGATTTTTCTTCTGATAAATTTTATCAAGAAAATAATTCTTTCTTGATTATTTGTTTTCAAATATTCTCTTCATATGTTTTGTCTGGAGATATGGAATTGTGGTAGAAGAATTTTGAGATGGATGAACCCAGGAAACATTCTGTGATTTTTTTTTTTTTTTTTTTCTTTCCTCTCAGCAGCTGTAAAAGTTTGACAGTCTAATCTGAATTCTTTATTGTATATCTTGTCGGCTGTAGACACTCATGAGTTCTGGTTTGCCATCTGAATATTACAGTCAGTAACTGATTTCCTCTCTGATTAATAATAATTCACTCTTTATTTGCTTCTATAGACAAGTAAAAATTCAAAATAATTGTATGTTCATCATTTTTACCTCATTTTTTTATAGCTGTTCAGTTTGAAGCATGAAATCTGGGAGCAATTGAAATATTTTTCAAGTTCAGACCAGTTCACAATAATGAAAAAGAAATTGAATTAAAAATGTGGAAATAGTTTTCTAGTAGTTTTGTCTTCTGAGACAGATCTGTAGGGGGAACACATGATAGTCAACTGTATCAATACACATTTTAAACATTGCATATGTGAAATTTTACTTTTAGTATCAGAGAACAAATGAAATGTTATATTTATACTTCTAATATCACTCTATGTCAAGATTTGACTATACAGATATAAGTACAGATTCTCCTGCATACCCTTATCCTAGCTGGGAGTAGTCTGATTGTTTAGTACAGTAGTATTCTCAGAATTAAAAAAGACCCCTGGTATAACTGTACCCTTACATGGGTTTCTAACCACAATATAGTCTTCTCTGTTTGCAACTAAAGAAGTCATATGTAAAGTATTTATAGATTGTTTAGTTGGAATGTATCAATAATCACAGTTCCTGACATCTACAGTCTTTTATTAGGCTTGCAAACAATCATCAGAAAAAGAAAAAAATTTACAAAGCTAATGTAAAGATTAATATATATGGTCAACTAATGATTATGTTGAATAATGGGGTAAGTCAAGGTATCAAAGTCCTTTGGTTCTAGATAGTCTAAATTCCATTGAATCTAGAATGCACTAATAGACTCTAAAGTGTATTCTTGTATTATTGAAGACAGCTGCTGTGTCATTAAGAATTACTGTTAATTATACTTTGGTCCTATACAGAGTTGATCACGGAAAATGTTATGCCTTATGTTAATTATCTCCCCATTTTTTTATTCTGTAGCGTTTTGTCAGGATATAATGGTACTATCTTTGCATATGGTCAGACAGGGAGTGGCAAAACTTTTACCATCACAGGAGGAGCAGAACGTTACAGTGATCGAGGTATCATCCCCAGGACTCTATCATATATTTTTGATCAATTGCAGAAGGTATGTGACATTGCTTTCTGTTTATTGTTAACGTTTGGTTTACAAATATTAAACTATATTGCAAAAGGCTTTTTTTTATAATAGTGTGAAAAGAAGCCCTAAAATTAATGCTGAAGAAAATAACTAACTTGACATGACACCTTATGCAAGAATACATTGGTATAGTCTTGGTTACCTGGCTTGTTCCAGTAGACTGAAAATAATGGATATAATTGGAGGTTGGTTTTTTAGGTTTAAAAACTATAGTATTTTTAGTTGGTGCAATGTACATTCAGATCACATAATTGGTTCTCCTTGTCTGAACGCTTATATTAGATCCATTCTGATTTTCTGTTGTTTGAATTACATCACACACGTTGCACAAAGATTGCTCTAATTCCTATGTAAACCAACAATGTTGTATAAAAGATGGAGCATTACTTTGACTTTTTGTAAATTACCTAATTTCTTTGTGCTTATTGCAAGAAACCCAAACAAACCCATAAAACAGTAACATGAACAATAAGCATTTTAAAATATTCAGCTATTTATTTTACATAATGTTGCTTAGCTAGAATATATTACAGAATGCTAAATATATCTAATCATGGAAAAAAAGTCAGCAATACAAATACTTTAAGTATTTGAAAGAAAATAGACATTCGTATTTATTTTCATTCTTTACTGTTTTCTGTTTAACTCAGATTATGCTCTTGTATGGAATGTTTTTATGTGTATATGTTGGTACTAATGAAAATCTCAATCACTGAATATAGTTGCATAGAAACATTGTTGGGCACACATCTTAACATGTATAACACATGAACAGGTAAAGATGTATATAGTAAAATGCCACAAGTGTTATTGCTGTTATTAATTATTCCGAATATGTTCTTTCCAAAATGAAGAAAAATGGAAAAAAAAAAACCCAAACCCTCTTTGGTCTTTTTTTGAAACAGTACTAGTACCTAAACACTAGTTAACAGTGACTAGAAAGCCACTTTCAAAGGTAGTAAACTGTATTCTGAAAACCAGTTTTGCATGTGCTTTATGTCTGAAACTTCTAGTGGAGAAATAGTCACTATACCCATATAAATATTGGTTTGGCTTCACAAAAAAAATTGGGCAATAGTAAATACCACCCAATAGAATTTTTGTTTCTTCCCTTTTTTGTGCATTTTACAGTATTTCTGAGTCTTTCAGTTCTGTCCCAGTTATTTCTTAATGCTTTTCTGTTCATTTTTTAAAAACTGCAGAAGAGGTTTTCCTGTCACTGACAGCTCTGTGCAACTGTTCTTTGAACAGAGGGCAAAACACATCACTCCAGTGTGGTAACTGACCGAAACCAAACAGCCATAAGCTTACTTTTTAGGTGAATCCAGCTATGTGAAAATGAATGGTATATTTCAACAGCTCTAGCTGTGCCCTGCAGAAGTAGGGAGGGGAACAATACAAAGTCTTAAAAGTCAGAAACTCAAATAAGATGTCAGTATCAAAATTTTTCATTGAATAGAGAAGCTTTAAATTGGTCATTCCAAATCATAAATCTTCTGACCAACCTACAGCCTACAGGTTGGAAAGAAAGCTCGTGTAACCTACACCATTTGCCACATATAAGGGGACTGTGAGAAACAACAAGAACTAGCTGCTGATGTAGTGATTGGCATTCCAGCTATGAGAATTTTTTGCTAAAGGAGGATGTGGGGGGGATGTGTGTGTGTATCAGGTCATAACCCAAGTTTTGTAGAATCATTTTGATTTGGCATTTGTATGCAATGAAATGAAGGAAATAAGTGAAAGGCTGCGTCAGAGTAAGCACACTGATTGTTCATTACGTTTATGAGAAATTCCCTTACTTTTAGTATCTGTAATAGTCATCTGATTTCTTGTGCTAATTGTGTAATAAAAACATAGTAGGATAAAATGTAACTAGTTCATTTGTGGCTTTCCCAGCACATAGTTTCTGCAAATACAAAAATGTTTGTGTTTCCATATTTAATCTGGGTTTGGGATCAAAAGCTCTACTTAGTTATGTTTGTATGGATATTTTTGCCTGTCTACTTCCAAGTCTTTGTGTTTGTTTCATTCGTTTTCTTTTGTGGCGCATCTTAAGCATTTCTTCTTAGTGTTTTATCTTTCCACCTGCCTTTCTTTTTATACATGGCCTTTGTTTCATTTCATTTTCTCTACAACTGTGCTTTGGAAAGTGCTGATGTAGTGAAGAATAGCCATGTGGCTCCTAACCCTAAGTAGGGCAGAACAGGAGAAAGTTAATTCAGGGACACAATACCAGATTTTTGAAGCTCTTACTTGCACTGAGACAGTACAATTTGAAACCAAGGAACCAAAACTTTTTACCCCAAATGAGAAACAAAGCAAGTCCTTAGTTTTTAATAATATCTCCTTTTAATTTACTGGTCAGAAATTCTCCTATTTCCTCAGCTTCCTGTTTGAACAGTTCCTTACTACATTCTTTCCATCCATCTGTAGTGAATCTTTTTAAATGGTGTCCCTTGAAATAGTGAACTGTCATTATCAATAAAAACAAACCATGGAAAATAACTATTCAATGAAAAGTTCATATCTCAAATTATTTTGCAAAACTACTGTAGTGGATTTGGATGATTTAACTGCTACTGTGAGTGTGATAGGAGTACTTTCATGGTGGCTTCATCTGCTGGAAAGAAGTGACTAATTTTCTTTTATTTTGGAAATCATAGCCCATTATTTTGAGGTTTATGTTGTTTGGATTTGGCTTTGGGGCAGGAGAAAATTCTTTCTGCAAAACCCAGTTGTGTTAAGTTACATTTTGGCAATGTATCATAGAAAAAAAAATGAGGATTACAGAGGACAGTCGACATCGTATACAGCGCTTCAATGTTATGATAAAGTAAGTGGGAAGCAGTATGTCACTGATGCTTCTAAAGGAAGTAAATCTTCAATTTATTTTTGTTGTGTGTCCTTGGTTTTTGGTTTTTTTTCTAAGCATAGTCTTTCTATACATAATATGAGGCTTTACCTCTTTATAATAACATTCTTTTTTTGTCACAGAAGTGAAAAATGGCATGTTGCATAGTTCTGTAAGCAGGCTGCCACGTTCTGTGTGCATACAGACTCTTCTAGGTACAAGAAACCAATAAAAAAAAACCCCAGACTAAACTTATGGGCATGGTGGGATTTTGCAGAGGATTTTTGTTTTGGGTTTTTTGTGTGTTTGGTTGGGATTTTTTGTTGTTTTTTTCTTCTTGAGTCTTCATACATATGGTAACTGAAATCATAAAAGTATCACAAATTGAAAATGTAAACCATACCCAGGAAAAGAACAGGAGACACAGTAAGGAAGCAACATAAAAGCTATAGTGAGAAATTTGTCCACCGATATAGCTCTGACTTCTCTTTATGGCTCTTCCTTTTTTTCTTTTTTTTTTCCTTCTTGTCCAGGATAGCAGTAAAGTGTATACAACTCATGTTTCCTACTTAGAAATCTACAATGAATGTGGTTATGATCTGCTGTACCCAAGACATGAGGCCTCCAGATTGGAAGATTTGCCGTAAGTAATAAAGGTAGAGAGAATCACCAAAAACAACAACAAATAATTTTCATATACCATGTTGCATTGTCTGGGGACTTTCCTGAAATGTGTTACTGATCTCACTGTTAATTACCTCAAAATGCTTCATTTACTCTATTTTATCAATGCTATCTAAATTTTCTCTTACTCTTGTATGTATAGAGGCTAGGGAAACTAGACAGCAGTAACTGAAGGTTGAAAGTATTAAAAATTTCTGTTAATACTATGCAGAAGAGATCTACTGCAGACACTGAAAACAAGAGAAGGTAAACTTGTTTTTCTCATGACAACCTGTGTTATATATGGTATGCACATGTGTGTGTGGCAGAGACATAGAGGCATTATTTCCTTGCAACAGTAGGGAGGAAAACTCCCTGCTTCTACTTGGACCTTTTCCTTCAACGATAATTGTTTTCCTAGCATAAGCAGTTATGAGATAAGGTAACAGGTAAAAGGGCCACAAGTAACTCCAAAGCGTAATATATTTACTTCAGAATGGAAGATTGTCTGTTACACTTTTATTCAGCTTATTGAAACTAATCCTGTTACATTATTCAATTTATTAAATTATTAATTTCATTTATTAAGTTATTTGCAATGTTTGATTTGAACTCATTACATTTACTCATTTTATTAAGTTGAATGTATTTAATTGAACTAAATTGATTTTGATAATTTAATTGCAACTTTATTTGATATGTATTAGAGTATTTTAAAAAAGTAAAAGTTGACAGATAATTTGGTTGTGAATTAGGGATGAAGCACACTGAGATAATCATAATTACCTGTAAAGTTATGCAGTGTATAGTATTGCGGAATGGGTTTTAGTGAGATAAATTTTTCTCTGCAAAATAACTGATCTGACTAAGTGCTTAATGGTTATAATGTACATGGTAATTATTGTTTCCAGTAAATCATTTGTCAAAAAATGTGCACTGTACACTAAAAATGTCTTCACCGCTCATATTTAGCATTGTATAAAAGTATTCAATTAATATATTTTTACTTTAAGATAACAATTTAGGATTAAAAATTTTAAAATACAGTTACATTCTGAGCTAAAAAAGGAATAAAAATTGCAGAAAAGGGTAGTTGCATGATGAAATATTTTAGCTATTTGGTTAATTTTTGTAAATGACTAAGTAGTAGTTACATGTAAGCAAATAGTAATCACATAGTTTAAATTATATCTGGTGTTTATTAACGAATATATGTAATTTTTATGAGAATTTTATGTGTTTAAGCCCTTTAAGATTTTAGTGGTAGTAATCAAAATACAGAATAAACTAAGAGCCTCAAGTTTACTCAAACATATATTTAATGAAAATATTTAACTTACTTTTTTTGTACTTTATAAAAGTTTATATTATGCATAATTTCCTGTTGAACTCCACAGTGAATCATCAAGATTTTAAGTACCATACAAAACCAAACGCAGGTTTTCTATGCTTGGGTAAATATTATCAGTCTGTGATAATAGTCTCCCAAGTATACAAGAGAGATAAGAGAAGTGTTGAAGAAATGTCTCATTTTAGAGTAAGAACAAGATTAGTTAGCATTGTAAAGTATGCAGATTGTTTTGGAACAGTATGGTTATACATAGTCCTGCAAAAAAAGGGGTTGCAATTTGAATCCACGATATTTATTTCTGCCTAGCAAACTCTATGGTAATGACTTCACATTATCAGTTCAATGGAAGGAATAAACACAGAGGGATGGCATAATAGAAGCTATGAAAGCGTACAACAGACTTGTCTCATTTTTTTCAAGTACTGTCAACATTAAGATTGTATTTGTTTACGGCAAAGCGAATAATAAAAATTTAAACAATTGCCTATTGCATCTAATCTTAGCAGGATTAGATTTGGAATCCTGGTTCCTGAACTTAGGGTTTAGTGTGTAGCCATCCTTTGTATATTCTGTAGGCTATTAAATTTTCATCTTAATACTTTTTAATCATTTAATTAGAATTTGCCAGAGGACAGAGGAAGAGGCTCTCACAAAAAAATCACTACTTTTCTGGGAATAAATTCCTGACAAATGTGTGAACATAGTTCATATGTCTATATGTATATGTATATAGATTCTTATATAGAATTACATAATTATTTATGTATGCATATATAAATAAATATGTATATATACACATAAATGTGTATCATGTTTCTAATAGCTCCATATATTTATTCATCAACTAAATTTGCAAATCCCATTAAACTTTTATTTTCACTGAAGAAAGTTTTCATGATGTTTAGTTGTAATGATACTACGTGTAGCCCCTAGAAGATAACATTTGACATACCTTAATGCTTCATATACAATATACCTTAGTTTACAATTGTAACTTCATTTGCTTACGCAGAGGTGACAGTGTTTTAATTAATTATGTGACACTAGCTAAAACACAGCATATACTATACAGATGAAAATACATTTTTGAAGAATCTTGTTAGAATGAAAACTTTGAATTTAATATGACAATATAATTCTAGTTGTAGCTGTAGAGAGTTCCAAGTTTATAGAAGGAAATTATGATTGTTTTCAAACATTTAGAAAGTATAAAACTATAGCTATAAAATACAGCTGGTAGAAGGCTATTTGAATTCTTACTGCCATCTCTTGTTTTCATAAAAGATTTGCAGGACTGTTCAAATTAGGAAAACTTTTCTGAAGCTCTTAATTTGCTGTGAGGTTGTGCAAGAGGCTTTCTTTAACAGGTTCTCCATTGTACAGTCTATTTGTAATTTATATAACTCAATGACACTGAATTGAACCAATTTCACTTTGGTTATAATCTACCAATACAAATCCTTTCTAAGTAGTTTGTACTATTTATTAAGAATTAAGAATTTTCTTGGCATTGAACAACACAAAAATAAAAGGCTGAGGTTATAGAACACAGTCATAGATTAAGACAGGACAATCAACAAGTTATCTCTTTACCTGTCCAAACTACAGCATGTGACATTCTTGCATGTGAAGGCCAACTAAAATTAGTGCTATTGTACCTTAATATGACAGTCTTTAAACTTCAGTAGTTGAGGAGCTATTTCACAAGGAGATTAGACAACCATTAGTTAAGAGTGATGTGGCCAGGGGAAAATGTAATCTAAACTACAGCCAGCATAAGTAATTCCCCATTTTTGTGTGAAGATTCTATAAAGTTCCCTTGGACAGTGATATGTGTAAGATTTAGTATGATGCTGACTGGCTGACTTAAAAACAAACAAATATACAAACCCTCCCCGCCTCTCCCAAAAAAACAACCCCCAGAGGAGTGAAACAAAACACTCAATTCTTATTGAATCCTCTGAGAACTCATTCCCAGTTTATGCTCCAGAAAGATGAAGTCATTTTGAAATGAGAGGTGAGTAAATCTTACATCCCATCAGGTGCTGGACACGCTGCTTTTGTGACAGAGCTTGCATGGATTTCCCCACGGTGTGCTGCACAGAGCAGCAGAGATCTTGTCCATGGAGAGAAGCTCTCCCTTTTGGTTGTTCGAGCCACATAATTTCCTTCCAAGAAAACAGCTCCATTTACAAAAGGTGTTTTCATGGGAACTTACATCATTTTTTGGTGAAGGCAAGACCACGTTGGTTGTGTGATGGCCAGGCCAGAGCTGCCTGCAGGCTCTTATGTCACAGTGGCCTGGCTGAATTTATTCTGCAGCCAAGAGGTCTGTTTATTTCTTGACGCAGGCCTGGATGTTGCTCTGTGCCTGCAGCACAGGCTGCACCTGCTCAGATTAACTGCTGTGTGGATCATACACTCCTAAACGTGCAATGGTATCGGTACCCTCCGATGTCCGTGAAGCACAGCACAATCAATCTGTGTTTTTCTTGTCTCGCATGTCGAATTCACTGGAGACAGTGGGAAGGATTTCCTGTCACAGTATGAAGTGCCAGGAGAACAGTCTGCACCAATACTTACTCATCTCATAGTTCTGTCATGTCTCACAACGTAAGGAGATCAGGCTCTAGGTCTGTACTTGAATGGAAAATCCAATCTGCTATTGCAAGCTGTGCTGACAGCTGAGTATCTTTGTAACCTAGCCTCTTGAATCAGTGTTGACTTTGTCCTCTGATGTGGAGTTCAGGGAGCTATATTTCTGAAAGATAAATATTTTTTTGATGATATGTAAAATTATGATCTTGGCCATCCTTTCTTAAAACCTAAAGCTCCTTGCAACTTTGCACAAAGATTAGCTATAGTTACGCTTTAGTTTATTCTGTTCTTCCGGACAGATTCCACGATGCATGCTCGCTGCTTTCCTGTTTTATCCTTTTCCTAAATGTAGTATTTGCTATATAGTCTCTTTCTCATGCTGAAGTAGTATCACTGTGTTCTGCTAATGTATTGCCATAGAACACGTGTATCCTCATGTTACCTGTTTACATCATTATGATTATTTTTAAATGTTTCTAAAGTTTTTGAGATTTTTCTATACTTCTTCAGTTCTAAGCCCTAGAGACAGAGATAATCATAGGCAACTTTATTTTTAAAATTGTCATTTACTTTCCAAAATCTTGTAATTTATATTACCCAAATGAATGAGATGGTATTAATTAATCAAAGGAAGCTTTAACTTCGCTTTGCCAGTAACAGGAATTTCATAAATGAAAGCATTGAATGTGTAAGGCTCTCTTGCATCAATGGCAGCTCAGCTGATGCAGGAAAGTGTCTGAGTTTGTAACAGCATAAAAAAGAATGATCCTATCCTACAGGTTGCCTAGTCAGCTACAAATTCCATCCATTAAGCCAAATGGAAAAGATTCTTTGTTTATAAAGAAAACAAAACCTTGTCTCTGCCTTCTTTCAGTCATTATGGATAACTTAAGAGAGCTTTTCCACTCCAAGATCCAAGTTTGGGGTATGAAATTTAAAGATTTCACTGACATAGAGAATGTTCTATAGAAATCTATTACCATATTATACAATAACTTTATAGCACTATAAAATAAAACATTTTATTGTCCTTTTGGAATATATCTTTCCGAGGAAGTTTTGAAAGATGCCTCTGAAGATGTGCACATTTAGACTTCCATCCAAAATCCTAAAAGCTGCAAGGTATAGGGGGCTCTCACTGGTTTGTCATATCCCCACTGCTTCCTTTCTGGTATAATAATCCTCCAGAGCTTTTCATCCAAACTAATAGTTTTGTTTTCTAGAAATTATTTATAACCATTGGTCACAATGTAGTCTGAAAAGATCCTTTAAAGTTTAAATAGTATGCCAAGTGTGCATAATAAAAGGACATTGTTTTCCTAAATTATAAAAAGACATAGATGATGCTTACTGTGGATTTTCAAACTATTAAAATTAGAGCATCATGCTGTAATCAGAACCATGATGGACTTTAGGATGTGATGCACGCGCAGATAGAATTGCAGACAGAATACAATGTGACATTATCAAAACATTATTATGTGAGAGCAGAATTGTTCTTTTGGGTTTATGCTCTAGATGCTCTACAGTTTCATGACTGTACTAAGTGCTGTTTTATCTTACTGCACAAAATAAGGCTGTAAGTGGGAGGCAATCATACTTGGAAAAACAATTGTTATGACTACTAAAGAAGCACCATGTGTCTTTGACATGTATTTTTTTTCTTGTAAATAGTGTGTGCAATATGTTCAAGTTATTTCTGTATATCCATTCCCATGTTTTGACCATCAGAGTGAACTACATCCCTAATACTTAGGAGTAATTTATGGAATGCTGCTTAGCTTCTTGATTTGATTCTGTCAGTTTGGGGGGGGAATAAAAAGATGAGGAAAGAAGAACAAAACCCAGCCTGTGTGGTTTTGAAGAAGCTTGGAATAATTAACATACAAGAACTATCTATACATAAAAACTCGAGCCCCACACTCCCTCTTGTGGTTAACCTTGAAGAATATGGAAAAAATGAAATACATACATGTGTATACATGTATGTATATGAAGTATTATCTATACTTATAGAGAATTTTTTTTTTAAAAAACTTAAGTTTTGAAAAAGTTCTAATTCTCTTGTAAGTTGTCTCAGAACAGGTAACTTATCCTGAAGGAAATTTTACTCATTGTCAGAATCAGTGTACTTCAACTTTAAGAGTCTTCACTCTGGGAGTTTTCCAAATCCAGTGATGCAACTGTGGCTTCCATGTTGGATACTATAGAATGTCCTAACTGAGGGGACCCTAATGGCTATTTAGTAAAGACAATAAAGTTTAACTCTCAGTAGCCTGATCAAAAGAAAAAATTCTTACATAAGAGTTATTTAAAGCAGTGAGCTTTTGCCATATCCTTGCTACTTCTCTCTATCTTCCTTTTTCTGAACTTTAAGGCTTAAAGAAGTACAGCTTAGAGCATTTCTGACCTTCAGGGAAATAAATAAAATAATTCTATTTGCTTGCTTTTAATTTAAGAAAGGGATCATTTACATTTGTAGTTATTACATTTGAGAAAAATGAAAAGTGAAGTAATATTGAAAAATTATTAGAAAATTAAATTTAATTATTAAAAAGTTATTAGAAACATGTTGGCTACAAATATATTGATTCTGAACTATTCCATGCATGTTTGTTCCTCAGGATTACATTATGCCTTATGTATTATTTGCGCTTAAATAGCGGTAGAAATAGCAAACAAACATCTATTTATTATGTTTGTGGTGACACATCTAACTGCTTGCTCTTGACAATTTATTACATCGCATTTAAAAAAAAATCCTAAAACTTTCTCTAATACTTACAGATTTTATATATTCCTTTTCTATGTGGAGGGTTATAATAATGGAATAAAAAGGAGGTGACAGTTAAATAAAACTCAGCATTTCTTTTAATTTGCATTGTTTACTCTTCATGGTTTTAATTCTTTTATTATGATCATGTTTGGCTTTTAGATGTCCCCTTTTAGGCACAATGAAAATGTAAGGTGATCTTTGTTCCATACTTTAAACAATTTTATAAAATAGTTTTTGGGGGTTTTGTTGTTATGTAGAAAAGTGACAGTAATGGAAGACCCTGAACAGAACATTCATCTGAAAAACTTGTCTCTTCAGCAAGCAACCAATGAAGAGGAAGCCTTAAACTTACTCTTCCTGGGAGACACCAACAGAATGATTGCTGAGGTGAGAATTGCTGCTACAAATCTTAATAACACCAGAGTTAAAATGGTCATAAACTTTTCCACATAAGTAGTGTATTTCGGAAATCCTTGGACATACATGAATAAGTATCTTCTCTGTATTTCCAAAGCGACATTAAATAAGCATTTCTCTGATGATAGCTTGCACTTTGCAAAAGGCTTTCTGGTTTTCCTTAGTGAATCTGATTGATGGTCATTGATGTCATAGCTTATGGCAATTAAAATAAGTAAGAAAATTTTTTTTTCTCATAAATCTTATACTGACTTTTGATTGTGGCATGTATCAACATACACAGACATTTAAAGATCAGAAAACATGGCATTACAAATCATTGTCAAACATTTACCATAGAAGTACTATATTGCCTTTGAAGTTACAGTAAGAGTTAGCAGTCCACTCTTTTTTCTTATTGCATAAACACATGCTGTTATGTGTTAAAACAAAAAAAAAACCAAAACCAAACACCCACAAATGGTAGTGTGAAGCATATTGAAAATAAATATTTGCCAATATGCAAAGGTGGCTTTACTGATTCTGGAAAATTCAAATGAAATATTTCCATATCCAAAATCTGTAAGTTTGGTTTTTTTCCCTTATCTTAATACTTGGAAATGGAATGCAAATATAAAAAGTGTATTGTATGTGAGCACTGTCAATGTGTCTTTACTACAACACAGCTAATTCTGTCTATAGATATGTGGGTTTTCTTCCTCTCTCTGACCAAAAAGGTATATAGTAAATCAATGACAAGAAAAACATTTAAAGTATATGAAATAGTCAAGTAGTGCTCTTTTCCTCACAATGTGCACCTGTGTTCAGAGGAAGAAACATTTGATTACAAAAAATATGAATAGGCAAAAGAATTATTTGTTCTCTCTTTCTCAAGGGAGACTATTTAGTCAGTGACATTTTGAGAGGCAGAAAAATGTTAAGGCAAGAAATAATCAAGCTGTTCTTGAGGGCTGTTGGTTCCTTGCCTCAGTCTTAATATTTGCTGTTTGATGCTGAAGTGGAGAAATTGATACGATTTAGTGGAGAGGAACTTGAAAAAGGGTAATAAGAGACAAAAAGATGATAGTGAGTTCAGAAACCTGAAAATCTATCATGAGAGTTTGTAATGAGAAAAAAGAAAAGTAAGTTCCTTGCATGGAGAAAGATCTTCAGGAAATCTCTGATCGCTTTAGAGAAGCTGTGCATGAAAAAACATTTGAAGAATGGCGTGCTGCTGGCTGGCAGGGTCATAAATAACTAATAGGAAAGGGCAGTTTTGTTACATATTTAGAAAGTATTGCCTAAAGAGAAAACATCCCAAACACTAAAAGTCATGAACAAATAACAGGGCTAATGAAGATGTCAAGTTATTAAAGGTCAAGATGAAGTAATGCTCAGTAAAACTAAAAGAATATTTTTAATGAGTCAGACCAAAGATGTGTGCTCCAGTTTCCTGTTTTGAACAATAACCAATAGCAAATATATAGAGAAGAGTAAAAGATAAACCAAGTAAATAATGATACTTGAAAAAACAAACAAAACTTGTAATCTTCATTAGTTTGTGTTTCAGGCTATTTATAGCTATTAACTTTTTTGTTGTATTTTTTCTTTACATGAATTTGCCCAGATGCTTTTTTCAACCTCTGCAAATTTTTATCGTGAAATTCTGACACACAATTCCGTGACTTGACTGCATTGTGTGAAGAAAAATCTTCTTTATCTTATTTTTTAAGCATAAAGAAAAAAAACTTTCTAGAAAACATAGTAATAGACATGAAAAGTGTGGGATCCCAGCAGCAGAGAATTCACTAGTCTGCATGGCTTGCACTAGTAAATGCTATGCCATTGTCACTTCTGCTGCTGAGGTTTTTGTTATATAAATACTATAAAGTTGTTTTATTGGTCTTTAATGAAAAGTACTTAAAAGAAAAAAATGCAGAGAATACTTTCTTGGAATAATTACTACCCATTGCAGCAATATTTACTTTAACTTGTCTGAATCCTAATATGATTCAAAAAACTTTAAATTAGGTAGATGTCATTGTAGAAGTTTTATTTCTGTAGTTATCTAGTACATTGTTCCTTTGTAATTGCAGCAGGTATGTTGCAGTACAGTTCAGTGAGCTTACTGAGTGTGCTTTCTCTTGGGCATTAGATAATTTATCTCCCGTTATCACTGGCATTTTTGGCTTTAAGTAACTGTGGTACTCTATACAATGACTTACCAGAATGAGAAAATTGTGGTTGCAGAAATGAGGGATTAATGTAGAGGTCTACGGAAGAGGACCTAATGACATCAACCATAACTTCTCCAGAGATCTGTATTTTTAAAACTTAATTGAATTATGATAACACTTCCTGACCACAAAAAAAAAGGACCCTGTTTAGGTAAACTTTAAAGAAAAAGACACAAAATGGATAAACCTAAATAGAAAAGAAAGTAGAAGACATGCTTGATTCATCTTTTTTTAATGATGAGTTTGGCTATGGAATAGCTAAGGTGAGTGTCATGGATCATGTATGAAATCTGTGGCCTCTAAGATTGCAATTGAATGTTTTACCCCTGAGATAATGCTTCTTTGCAGAGGTGAAGGACCATTTTGAAAATAAGAATGACAACTTAATTTCTGCAGTGCCTCTGCTAGTGGAGTCTAACTTGGGTTTTGAGGGCTGTGTTTTGCCCCCACCACTGACTGAGCTAAAAAGAAAATTATCTTAATATGAAAAAAAAGTATTCTATAGGCTACACTCCTTCATTAAAACTTAAGGGGACATTTATAACCAAATATTCCCACACATAACTATACAGCTCATGAGAAGGGAGAAAGAGGAAGCTAATCTAATTTGTGCAGGACTAGTTTATAGGTCAGTATACGACCAATCCTTTGCTCTAGTTTTGACATGTTCTGCAGGTTGTGAAAATGGGAAGGTGGGAGACATCTGTGCACAAATACTTCACAATGTAAAAATCCAATTGGAAATTTTTGTCTAGTTTTTTGTCTGCCAGGGAGAAATAGGCAGGAAACAAACCCAAAATAAATGATTCTTTTGTTGGCATCTTTTCCAACTGTAAGGGCTATATTTTCGTTGGTTTGTTTTCCCCATAAAGTACAGTTTCTTGCTACATTTGAATGCATAAGAACCTCAGCAACAGGTTCTGAATTGATTTTTTTTTTTTATTAAGCCAGGTTTATGATTTAGGTATCTCAAATATATGCAAACAAAGGGTTTCAAAATCTAATTGGCACATATGACAAAGGTAGTTGCAGCAGCATCTAAAAAAGCTCATGTACAGAAATAAGTGTTTGACCATTTAGGTAGTGTTCACACACCATTTTATCTTGGTAGGTATACTATTAATATGTCTTTTGGCTGAAGTGGACTTTTCTAAATTGTTGTGATGGTAATCTCTTGAGATCACTGTCCCTTGAAATAATATGCCTGAAGCTCTGTGATTTAAAGAATTCTTAGTACTTTTTCTAGTATTTTTCTTAAAATAGCAGAGCAAGGTAGACCCGGTAGCCTCCCAGGGGCATGCATCAATGTCAAAGCTGTAAAATCTTTTGTGAGTTGCATGTGCAGTTAGCATTGGTTTTTCCTCTAATGAAAAATTTTAATGAGGAAGGAAATGTTTTAGTGTGTGATTTTATACCTATAATACTTCATTGCTTAAACTCAAAAGACAGTGATTATTACACAGTATTTGTTCCATCATTTAAAATGTTTGAAGTACACATGGGTCAAGCAGTAAGCTTTTGGCAATATTTAAATATATTTATTTCAAGAAAGAATGAAACTCTTCAACATTTAAAGATAGTTGTGGGGTCTGAGTTGTAACTTCTGAAATGGACCCATTCGCTTTGTATTTATTTTTATTGTCTATTAGTATTCTCTTGAATATATTTAGAAAGCCACTGGTAGAGTTTGAATACATTTTTTTCTTGGATGAAATATGAAAAATAGTATTTGAAAGTGTGAACGTAAGAGATTAAATGAAACTTTTGCCAGGAAGGTATGTTATCCATGTTAGAGCTGCATTTCAGCATTAATTACAACTTTCTGCTTTCCTAGGTTTCTCATTAGTGTCAACAGTTAATTTATTAACATCTGACAAACCTGCTACTATAGTATCACTAGTGCCAAATGGCACCATCATTTCAGCACCGATGCTTTAATTTCCATGTGTGGTAAAACAGTCACTGGTCATATGTTGGACTTCAAATAGTCCTTAAAGTACTTTGGGATTTATATGCATAAAAGGCACTGTATAATGTAAAGTTTGATAATATCCTCACCAGGGAATATTAATTACTTTAAAAGTTACCTCAGTTACCTTGGGCAAACTGTGAAAATGTAATTGTAGTAAATACGGCAAGGTAAAATAATGCTTTTAGAAATTGGGGAAGTGTCAGATCGCAACTGTTCTGATCCTTGTATTTTCATAGCAATAAATCTGCGATTTCAACAGTGTCAAGCGTACCTAAGTACACCTGAAGAGCCCCTTCACTTGTACCATATTAATCAGAAAGGAAACTAAAGATATTTTAAGGTCTCACTCATCTACCAGATAAAAAGGCAGGGACCTCCTATTCTTCAACCTAGGTACCCTTCCATATAGCATGGTTCTGTTGGAACCGGTGGAGTTACATTGGTTAGACAGATATATCCACTGTTTTGCAACAAAGAATGTCTACTCCTTCAGCTTTCCGGAGATTTATGATGTTCTGCTGTAAACCAACAATGTGAAAATACCAGAATATTCTAAGGATGAATTTCAACTAGAGAAACCAGCTGTGTTATATTGCTTTACTATTATTCTTGTAGGATACAGTGGAACTTTTCTTACTATTTGAACTTTGAAGTGAAGGTGTCAGAACTTTCTACAGGTATCCACCTGATTGTAGCTTGAGTTGTAGAAAATCAATTTAATGTCAGCCTTGGATGCTATCAGTGCTTTTGTCTTTTCCCTTGCCCTTCAAAAAGTTCAAAAGCAACACAAACCTAAGAAGAAAAAGAAACCATCCTTAAAATAAAATTTTGTACCTTTGCACCAAGACGTTTTTCCCCCCAAAAATGGGAGCTTTCGGAATCAGCCTTTCTTCATTTATGCCTTGGATCATCACTCATACAGGAAAATCATGTTCTTCTGATGTCTAAATATTGTGATTCAAAGAAGAGATTTCACAGGAACTATATAAACTGCCAAGTGGAAGCTGTATGCAATGTGGCCTGACCAGCTGCATTTATCACCTATGAAATCTTTTTGTCCCAGCTGTCCAGAACTCTTTTCTGTGTTTTCTGTCTGTTTGGCAGCCATAATCAGCACATTATTCTTCCAGATAGTAACAGCTTCTGTTAGTTTAATGGTAATTTTCAAATAAGCTTTAAATATGTTTTTCTCTTATTTAAGAAACCTTTTCTTTCCTAGGTTCTCAGTTATTAAGAACACTATTTGGACATGTAGTGTCCTGTTTCTGGCTATTATTCGTAGTGAAAAAAAAATTTATAAATAGCAGCTGCAACAAATAAAGGGTTTGGGAAATACATAAATTCTTGTACAGGGAGTAACTTCTACAGAGTTTTATTTATTTAAGATAGATATCAATTAGATGGATAACTTCGTCTCCAGCAAGTTTTTGGGCCTTTTATGACATTGTATTCCTTGACAGAAACATCCGATTTGGAGGCTTCTTGCAATATGGCTGTGCTGCAGGTTCTCATTTAAGTAGAAACCACCTTCTTGAACTGTTGTATGAATACATATAATGTTTTAAGTCACAAAGCTTCTATACAATTTCTTTTAACTTCAGTACACACAGGTATATCCTGTTCCTGGAGAAAAAGGAGACTGGGTTGTGTGACTTCAAATCTCTTGTACATATTTTCCGAGATCAAACAAAACATCGATGCTTTACCAAATCATGATCTTGAAAGAAATGTTATTGAATTCCTCTTTTACCATGCCACAAATGGGCAGCAACAGATGACCTGGCATTAATTCCTTTGTACTGTTCATATGATATCACAAAGCTTCTGAAGTCTGCTTATGTGGTTTATGATGTCACAGAATTCCTGGAAAAAATTATTTCTTTGTAAGTAACTGCAGCTCATCAGTTGTTCTATATATAACTTTCACAATAGCAACCATCTGCTGAGAGCCAGGACACTCCCCTCTTCCTTTTTTTTTTTTTCCCTTCAGCGTGTCCAACTAGTGTGAGGATGATTTCATATACATATGGTTTGAATACTGCTAACAAAGCAAAAATGAACCCTGAAAGCCACTAAAGGAACTTTTTAGTAAGTTCCGAGACACTGTCCAGAATATATTGTTTGTTAGTTTTCAATTTTCAGACTTTCTGAACAGCAGGTGATACTCGGAAGTTGCATATGTAAGATAAAAAAAGAACAAACAAGATAAAAAAGGCTGATTTTTGGACTGAAGATGCTGACAAGTTGTCATTTCTGGTTTTGTGTTCTTTACATCTACTTGTGTGGTAAAAGTAGCAAAGTGTGGGGGATTCTGACTGCAATTAACATTTTACAATCCTATCCCACTTAACAGTTTAAATTTTTATTGCTTTACATTTACTGCAAGAATTCTATTAGAGCTTTCTAGATCCAGGAACTGCAAAGTGGAGACCAAATAATATTGTAAGTAGGAGTATTGGTGTATTAATTAAAGCATGGTTCTACCCTGAAGAAGGATTTAATGAAAATTTTATGAGAATCATTCTTTGATTCTATGAAAATAGCAGTTTGGGTTTCTAGCCAATGACTCCCAAATTATCTTCACTCATTGTACGTGGGGAAAAAAGTTATGGAGGGAAAAGCAATGGAATTTCTAATGGACAGTCCAACAGAATTTGCTTGGAACATGCACGAAGAAATTGTGGCTAATGTATTGCTCTAGAGAATAAAGAACTAACAGGCCAAATATTGCCTCTGAGCTTTTAATGTTTTAATTTTCCTTCTTGCCTCTGTTGGGGGTAAACAGCTGTAACAAAAAACACATTTTGAAATAATGAGGTTTTGCTGTATAGTGAAACTTAAGTTTGCCTAAGAATCTTTATTCTGAAGAATGATGATTTCTGCTTCTTCCATAGCAAGCTTTACTTTCTGCTTCCATAGCTAGACCTGTATTGATGTTTGATCTAGCTGGGGATTGTCTGCAGTATAGTGTGACCCATGCTGTAGCACAAAATGTCACTAAATATCATTTCTGTTGTGGAGAATGTTCCTAAACATGAATTGTTATGGGTTTTGAGCTGGAAAAATAAAATATTCAGTCCTGCTTCACAGAGCTAGAAGTAGTAAAATCATAGCTCTCCTAGTCAAATAAGTAAAGTTGGCTCTGAGTATTCATGGAATTGGATTCGCTGAATAAAGTACATTTTAATAGCGTATAACTTTTTCATGGTATAACTTCATTTTAAATATATTTGGGAATATTTTCTTGCTTGACACCTTTCCTTGAGCCTGTTTGTTTTCATTCCCATGCTACAACTCGCTTCCCCTTCATTTGTTCAGCTTCTCCTCTGAGAGCAGAGCGTGTGACAGCACTCGGCTCTGATGCTCGCTTCACAAGGCTGTGAAATGATCCTTACAAACCAGGCAGTTAAGCAGAGCCAGTGGCTTGCTTGCCTGCATTGTTCCAAATTCCTCATCTGTATAAACTAATGATCAAAACTCTTCCCCCTCTCCCTCTGAGCTTGGCTTTATTAGGTATAGCAACCTGAAACAAAATACTGTTAAGGCTGTAATTTCATTAGAGAATTTTCACCAAAACCTACAAGTGTACGCTATTCCTGCACACTACCACCTCATTCACACGATGTTTGCTGCCACTGTCAATTATTCTAACAGAACTGTTTTCTACAGCTGTGCTCTGACTGAATCAGGAAACTGATCCAGGTTAAATATCTATGGTTTGCAGACCTTTTTTTGTTTTCTTCGAGTTGGATCAGTTCCCAGAGACAGTTCAGTTGTGCTGGCACAATTAAGGCTGAAAAAAAAAAAGTCTTGGGAAATTGAAGGGGAGACAATTCAACCAAGATGTATGGCTGTTCATATTATTCCTGTTGAAGGAATATTCAGGTTGCAGTCTTTCTGTCCGTTCTGGAATAACAAGACACACCTTTAACACCTGCTAGGTGTTTAGCCTGTCCATAGAATGTTTGCTCCATAGTCTGCTTTGGTATGAAACCAAAAGCAATATGTTAGCATCTCTCATCTGAATTACAGGGTATGCCTAGATAAGTAATTACTCTAGAATAACAGAGGAATAGAGTATAGACAAGAGATTAATGTATTCAATTTAACCAGGAGTTTTAATCATCTTTTTAAACAGGTATAAATAGGTGTAGTTGCTAATAAATAATATTTATTTATTCATTTATTTCACTACCATGTTTTTTATTAACTTATTTCATACTCTATTTTTCGGCAAGATTTTATGCCCTGATAACAATGTAGTCATACTTGTTATAGTCTGTAAATAAAAATACTATTTATATGGTAGACCTATAATCTCCATGTATATTCTAAAGCTTTAGCTATTTACACATTGAGGATAATTAGGAGCTTCTTCAGGTATAAGTTTCCAACAACAGCTTGCTATAACTAACAAAAGATGCTTTAGATGTGTTAAGGAAGTGTGGCAGTAGCTATTCCAAATAAATATATTTAAAGCCAAGCCTCTTATGAAAACTGTCGTGCCACATAATATTCTGATATTGATTTTACCAAGTTAAATTTTTTTCATAGAAGTAATATAAATGTGAAAGTCTAAAGCCTAAACTCCTAGTCTTAGTTACACTGGTAGCTATCTAGCCCCCCCCCCCCAAAAAAAGGCGTATCAATGGAGAAATTCATAACTTCTTGGAGAACAGGGATTGGTAACTTCTCCTGTGATCAAGGTGCCCTTTTCTAGTATTCCTCAGCACAGTAAGGCCTTTGCTGATGTACTCACTGTTAGAGTATCTTGCTTAAGGATAGTTGCTTGTAGTACAATTTGTCCACATCAAAGTTATCTAAGTATTTGGCCAGAATGCGAGTGCCAGGTAAATCCTTTTGGGTTCTTCTTGCATGTTCGTTACAGGTGAAATAGTGGGGAAAAAAAATGGGTAGTTGATTTCAGTTGCTGGATTACTGAGCTATAAAAAGCTAAATTTATTTATTAAATAAACATTGAGGACTCTTCCTTTCTTTTCACTGTAGACTCCGATGAACCAAGCCTCAACCCGATCTCACTGCATTTTCACTATTCACATCTCCAGCAAGGAACCTGGATCTGCAACTATCCGGCACTCGAAGTTACACTTAGTAGACCTTGCTGGATCAGAGCGTGTTGCAAAGACTGGAGTTGGAGGTCACTTATTGACAGAAGCTAAATACATCAACCTGTCATTACATTATTTGGAACAGGTAAAACTGGGCTAGAGTTAAACATTTCACCATGTTCTACATTCTTATTTAGCAATGGGCAATGTTTTGGAAATATTGACTCCAATATTCTGTTAGTCTTGGGGTGTTTATTACAAGGGGTTTTTTTTAATGTTTGAGTTTATAGGTCTTCATTTGAAAAAACATATTTTAATTTAGGCAGAGCTTAACAATTGAGCAGTAAGGTTATAGTAGTTATACAGGGTAAAATTTAAAAAATAATTTTCTGTTTTTATTTGGAATGCTGAAGTTATTTACAAGATTGCAGCTATGTTTCTGCTAAAAATGTTCTTTATGATCCTCTTCCCCTTCCACAGCTGGGATCAGGATATACCACTCAAGAATCATTGAACTAAAGTCATTGGGTTTTGTTTGGTTCAAGTACTGTTAAATGGTAAAATATTAGGTTCTTCCATTATGTGTTGTTTTATTTCTCTGCCAATGTGAATCTTTGATCTCTTTGGGGCAGGAGTTACCTTTGTTAATGTATTTATGGAGTAGCCACTGTAACTTATTTTATACTGGTAGGACTCATAGATGCAACTGAAATAAGATTAAATCTCCAGAAATCTTTATCATTCAGCTGCTGAAATGCAAGCTGTCTCTTGATTTTAGGTGTACTAAAAGCTCTATCCCTCTTCCACTGTTGCCTTTTATTTTTCCTTTTTGGAAAAGGCAAATATGGAGAAAGTAGATTAATCCTGACTCATCTTACTAAATTTCTTTTGAAAAATAAACAAAGAATGAGTTAGGATAAAGGTGATGAAAGGACACTTTGAAGATGAAGCATTCCCGTAGAAAGGTTTGGTTAACAGACTACTACTATTATTATTATTATTATTATTTTTAACAATGTATTCTATAATATTGGTAATGATAATAATTATTATTGGGAGGTTTAAATTATTTTTACTCCACTGATCTGACATAATCATTTTCCCTTCTCAGCTACAAAAATAAGATGTTGCATCTTAGGATACTTGTAATTTTTGTGAATGTAATGAGTGATGAAAAAGAGACTGGTATCTTCTAGTAACTTTTCTTTCCACCAGTTCATAGGCATTGTCTGTATTCCATAACATTCCTTCCTTTCAGGTATTTCTTTTCAGTTTAGTATTTGTGGCATTGCTAAAAGACATTTATGCTTATTTATAAAAATCTAATGCATTTTACATTTGTCTCCCTGATCTGCTGTGATGTCTTCTATTCTACTGCTGTAAAGCACCAAGCAAAAATAAGAGGCACTGGGCAATCAGTGACATCTATTTTGTTGATGATGTGCTATTAAGTTGCAATCTTTGAAGATTTTTCAAGTGTGGATTTTAGACCTCACGCCTCTAAGAGAAATGAAGTTCTTAATAGATTCAATACATAATATTGTTTTCACTGTACAGTAAACACTGTTCCTATTGCAAAAAAAAAAAATCAATTTTTTGAGTTCTCCTGGAGAATACAGTAATTTTTTCCCAAGGCCTCTTTAGAAATTTTTATATACAAAAATAACAGGTCTGTGAGGCTGCCATTTAGTGGGACAAATGAATGGGGGGGGCAGGGGGAGGAATGACTTAACTCTAAAATTCAGATTTGTCCCTTTTACTTTATATTCCAGTATATGTGTTATTTAGTAAAATTTGCAGTTGAGGATATCCATTAAAACAGAAAATTTTGTGATTGTCTAAATGTGAAGATACCTAAAAACTTAGGATTAGGAAATATAACTGATTGTTCGACTTACTGGGAACAGTATTTTTCTTTTTTGTTTGTGTGCTTTTCTGTTAACAGGAAGAAATCTTAGATTTCATTTAATCTACTATCAGAAATTTTTCATCTGTCAAAAGAAGCAGTTTAAGGCACAGCAGGTGGCAGTCATTTACTATTATACTGAATTTTTTTCATAACCCCCATTTGTTTAAATTTTACCCTGAAGTAAAATGTCTGTCAGTTGTACTCATGGGAAATGGTAAGGGTAAGTGATTCTAAAAGAATCACTTCAGAATCATATAAATCATATTCAGGATCCCTCTTATTTATGTGTTTAGAATGCAACATGGGATGAGCTTCTGTGAGGTTGAATTTAATAATCTGGGTAGTGTGTTATGAGATACATAGATTTGATGTGCTGTAGAAGCATAAATATTCCTCCATCCACCATGCAACTTTTAACTTCTGTTGTAGAATAAATACTGTTGGAGATGAGCACCTTGGGTTCTGTCAGGGGTTGGGTATTGTTAATAAAAATTTTCTCTAATACTGAATAAAAGACCAGTGGGATTTGGGCCATTCAATCCTGACCTTGCAGTGATTGATATTGAAGTACAAGGATTCCTCAAAATGAGCTTATTTACATGCTCAACTATTCAGTTATCTACTGATGTTTTACTGTTATGCCATTTTTAAACAACTTGAATAATAAAATAGTCATGTAAAATGATTTGTGTCAAGATGACAATGGGAATACAGTTCTGTGTATCACACTTGGTCTACTCATTAAATAACTACAATGTGTTAAAAAAAAATCATCATATAAATCAGTGGCACTTTTTCTCCAAGTGGCCTCTATGTCTAGAGCAAAATGGAGTTGATAGTGTCATGCAGCTAATCTGCAACGGCACTAGGGACAATTTGGTTTTAGTGCCCACAGCTATTTGATGCATAGGTGCTCTCAAAAGCTCCTACTACCATATCTGGGTAGCTTCTGCGCTCTGCAAGATGCAGTAGCGTGTTCTGGAATTACAACTGCTTTTCTCTGTGTATGTGTAGGTATTCCATTCTGATACACAGCATAGGGTATCCGGGACCAAATTTAGAGTTACAGATTAACAGTGAGGCAGCCACATGCTTTGACATTATAGTGGGATTAGAACTACATGTAATTCCCTAAAATAACAATTCCCCATAATACAATGTTCCTACTGCTTTGATGAATATGCCTGTTAGCTGGCATTTAACTTGAGTTCCATTTTGGGAATGTAAAAGATTTTTATTTATTAGTGAATAATTGCTAACCATATTGCTATTTTTATTCACAACCTATAATAAGGTAATTTTCTGGGTTTGTTGTTTCCTAATTAACATATGCACATATTAGAATAACAGATAAACAGGAACTTCTTAATAATTTCAAGTGAAATACATACATTTGTTTCTGATTAGCAAATCATTATTTTTTGGGGGGTGACTTATTTCCAGCAAGACCTGTAGTATTTACTGGAGGAGAGAAGCGTATGTTGTTCAAAAAGTGAGAATGCTTGTAAGAAAACTACAAGCAAACAAACTACATGACAATGGCAGTAGAGTTTGGATTTTTTTTTCTCTAAGAACCAGAGCTTCAGCTTATAAACTCTTCTAGAAATGGGAGGTGGGATAGGAGACTTAATTGGCAGAAATCTGAAGAGTGGGGGGTGTGAACAGGAATCTGGAAGGATTCTGGATACGGATCAAAGGCAGTGTCAGAGGTCTGGAGACTGCAGACAGGAGAAAAAAAGGAGACCTCTGGAGTAGGCATATGGCTTTAGAGCACGTGATACACTAAACAGCAAGATACCGATGTAGCTGATAGCTCTGTACTTGACGTACCCCAAAATCCTCATTGGAGGATGCTCTGAGAACATGTACAGACTGCCTGTTGGCATGAGGTACTGGTGCAGATCCATTCTCTGTGTGAAATTACTGCTTGCACAAAGGTTGTGATCATCAACAGGCACTCTTGTGCACAGTTCATATCATAACCATGTATGAATCTCAGGCCTTCCTTTATGCTTAACAATATTTCCAAAAGTTTCAGTGAAGTTATTAGTGAGTGATTGTACCTGCTCTATGCTATTATGTTTCATATCAGATGCAATTTTGCAAAAAGTGACAGATTTTACATTTAAAAAATTAATTAGGACTTAAAGTGGTTTGTTTGACCCACTCAAAATGGAACTTTGTGCCTTCAATTATGTTAAATTAGCATATTACAGTCCTTTTTCAGTAACATTATTAAGGTTTTTAAGCTTAGACTTACCAGTATTTAAAAAAAAAAAAAGGGCGAAACTAAAACAAACCCCAGACCTGTCCAAAGGATAATAACACCTTCTTTTTTGACTGTGTAAAAATGAGACAATGTTCTGATTATCACATTGGTTGGCTCTTAGAAGATTTAGTTCAGATCCTGTACAGGTGGACTGTATCACTTTGTGAAAGAACATCCTTCCCCTCTCCTTCAGATTTCTCCTCTTTCTCTTCCAGATTCCTTGATTGGATTATAAAGATTAATTTAGTGATTCTGGTGAGGTTTTGCTAAGGGGACTTAAATCCATCATCTGTGACAGTACAGTGGCTCCTGCATCATGAGAGCTGGTCACAGCTTTTCACTGGCATTGTGGGATGGTTCAGATTCTACGTGGGCTACAGATGTCCTCTGTGAACTTCAGAAAAAATGAACTTCTCTGAAACACAGTTCACATTTCTGACGAAAATAACGTATCTTTCCTCTGGCCTCTTTCCCATCTTGTCTATACAGATTTTAGTCTCCGCGTGGCAGAGACTGAGAATGTGCTTACTAAAGTGTACACCAAACTACTATAAGGTTTCTGTGTGATATTATAAACTAAAAAGAGAGATAGCATATTTCTATCTAACAAGTTGTAATACATGAGTTTTGAAAACCTAGATGCAGGAATGGATTTCCAGATTCCTTTACAAGATGGTAATTTTCATATTATGCATTCCTCCCTCTCAGGGCTGCCAGTGTGATTTATAGTCATAAGAATTTTTTTACTTTCTAAAGACCGTTAAGAGAAACCAGTGCCAAAAAAAGTTGCTACTAAATTGTGTAAAATAACAATTCTTTTAAGTGCAACATAAACAAAATATATGCTGGTGTGTAACACCTATTAAAAGAAAAACAAATTCTAATCATTTAAGATAGCTTGCACGACTCGTAGGTACAGTTTTTCAGTACAGTGCTTGACCAGATAAGAGTTCAAATTCTTTTATATCACAATAGATCATGGGGTAATCTAACTTTTTATATAGTAATAATTAAGTTAATTATTAAATTTTAACTTTGTTATATTAATATTAATCCATATTAAATTTATATTTAAGATTAAAATTTGAAGATTATTTAAAATTAATAAAGAGATGACAGTTTCATAATGTAAACAGATGAGAAAGGCAACAGAGAATAGTAGGTGTACCATTTCCTTTTTGGCCAAGGCATGTATATTCTAAAATGAATTATTTCATTCCAGCATTACACTGTGATCATATACCATCTTATTTGTGTTCAGACTCACTTTTCAAGATATTTTCTCAGAAATAAATGTGTTGACCCCTCTAAGAACCACATGCTTTAAGAACGTGTAGTTTTAAAAGCATGCTTTAGCAAATAGTAAGGAAGTTTTTACTTGAACACTATCCATACTTTATTATTACACTAAGAAAAATACAAGGAAGATTTTGAGTAATTTCTTGTGTCTTAGAAAATTCTGTGACTTTAAGCTTACCATGTTCAGTTTGCATGTTGCTGAGAGGTTCTAAAACTAGGGTGTGAGAAAATTAAGTTTATTCATTCTTTAATGTCCACGTCCTGTGAACACATATAAACATACTGAAATTTAAATTGAAATTATTTCAGTAAAATCAGTGGGTTTGCAGCTAACTGGGTGCATGAGCGTAGTTTTGTTGCATCAGAAGTTTAAGTTCCTGAGCAGATTGGTTTTGTTCTTTTTATGTGTCAGTCGTTAATAGACATGTAAATTTAAGTGTCTTTTCTATTTTTGCTATTGTTTCAGGTAATAATTGCCCTTGCAGAGAAAAACCGATCCCACATTCCTTACCGAAACTCCATGATGACCTCAGTGCTAAGAGACAGCCTAGGAGGAAACTGCATGACTACCATGATAGCAACGCTGTCTGTAGACAAAAGAAATATAGATGTATGTTATATCTATTTTCAACAAAAACATTTTCACTTCTCTAAAGTTTCTGTTCTTTTGACTTTTATTACAGTTTGCAATTCAAGTGTGAATGCTTTCATTCTTATCCTTAAAAAAAAAAAAAGTGTTTCCAGAAGATAATTTTATCAGTGGAAATTGCAGTAAGATGTAGACAAATAGTTTAAGAAATGTGCTTTTCTCTAAGCAACCTCGAGCCAAGGGGCAGTTGGGAAATGACTTACACCTAGTAATTAACTGTATTTTTCTTTTTTTAAATTTACTGTTTTTGTGATGAATATGTCTTTGAGTTATGAAAATGCATTTCCAATGAATTTTCCACAGGACATACTGGTTATATCTAGAAGTAGATTATGGATCACACTGAAAGGCTTGGCAGAACTTCTGTAGACTTCTTTGAGTTGAGACTGTTGAGTATGGTAGATAACTGGAGAGTTAACTCTGGGGAAGAGGAAATTGGGTAGGATGATTTGGGATTTTTGGAAATATTTTCCAGTACTTTTATCTCTCTTCACCAATTTCCTGCAGTAGAACTATATGTAGTGATGTTTCCTTCTTGTTTATTAAAAGGGCTCTAGTGAATGGGGCTACATCTGGCTGGCGACTGGTCACCAGTGCTGGTTGACATATTCGACACAAGCCAGCAGTGTGCTCTGGCAGCCAAAATGGCACACCGCATCCTGGGGTGCATCACGCACAGCACAACCAGAGGGGATTATCCCCCTGTATTCAGTGTTAGTGCAGCCTCACCTTGAGTGCTGTGTGCAGTGCTGGGCCCCACGATGTAAGAAGGATGTAAAGTTCCTTGAATGCCTCCAGAGGAGGGAAACAAAGCTGGTGAAAGAACTGGAAAGAATGTCCTGTGAGGAGCGGCTAAGGCCTGGGCTTGTCTAGTTTGGAGAAAAGGAGGTTAAGGGGTGACCTCATTGCTCTCTACAGCCCCCTGAGGAGGGCAAGTGGAGAGGGAGGTGCGGATATGTTCTCCCTGGTATCCAGTGATAGGATGCGTGGGAATGTTTCAGAGCTGCACCAAGGGAGGTTTACACAAGACATTAGGAAGCATTTCTCTACCTAGAGGGTGGTCAAACACTGGAACAGGCTTCCTAGAGAGGTGGTCGATGCCCCAGGCCTGTCAGTGTTGAAGAGGCATTTGGACAATGCCCTTAACAATATGATTTAACTTATTGAGCCCCAACTTGGTCAGGCAGTTGGACTAGATGATCGCTGTAGTTCTCTTCCAGCTGAAATAGTATATTTTATAATATGTTATGTGAATACATAGAACCCTGCTCAAAGCCAATTATAATCTATTTATTTCCTGATTTCCATAACATTGAAGCATTCTAATGTGAATAACCAAAAAACCCCCCACTGTTAAGCCTTAAGACTCTTTATGAAATACAGTGGAAAGCATTATACTAAAACCATACTTCATCTAGTTGAAGACTCTTTTTGCTTCAGAAAATGGACTTTGCTGTTAAATGAAAACAGATTGTTCAGACTTGCAAAAATGTAATTATGCAAGCATAATGTCTGGTGACAAACGCAACTGGGTGAGCTTGTTAATGACTGTGTTTTAGGCACTGTGAGATAGGCATCCTTTTGTGTATTTATCTCACACTGAGATCTAGGTTTCTGTTTTGAGAATATTTAGCAGAAGAAATTATCTAAAGTAACTGCTGACAATTTTCATATTCTTGCTTTAACATATACCATCTACACAGCAGGCCTTCCTAAGTCCTCTCAAAAATAAATTAAAAAAAGAATCCCAACCTTGGTCCCCAGAATCTGATACGTGCAAGTAATATTAGGACAGACGTTAAGTCAATTGCTAAATATTAGAAAATGTTCGAACTAGAATAGGTGCATAATTGTAATTTGGAGTTCTGTGGGTCATTACGCATAGTTATGTTTTGTTTGCTTGTTTGTTTGGCTTTTTCCGTTGGGTATGCATTTCATTCACAAAGGAAGCACAAGACAATTACTCCCAGTATGAACTGAAGTTGTATAATAAAAACAACTTTCTTAAAGACTTAGGTTTGTCTCTTGCAATGGAAGCAGTGAAGCAGAAAATTCAAAGTAAGAAACGGCCCTCTCATGAAGAGGACAATTAAAATATGATCCAAGAGAACTAGAATGTATTCCTACTTCTACCAAAGAGTTTGTATACAATTTCTCACGTCACTTACATCATGTTTTTTGTACTGTGGAATGCTTGAAAGAAGGTGTTGATTCTGAATTGTAGATAAATGACTTATAGCCATAACTGAAGTAGAACGGAAGCTTTTTTGAACAGAATATCATATAATGATAATCAAAATGTTTGTTTGGTACTTTTGACTTCATCTTCACTTTTAGCATTCCACACACTCGCAGCAAATCAATACCTGTAGGGTTTATTGGTTAATTTTTGTAAATCCCTCAGGTACCAGAACGATAAGCATGACAGAAAAAAATGATGAGGAAATCAGTGGCTGTCAGTTCTGATTACCATTTTGATGTTGTAGAATAAATAGATCATAAGCTTACATATTGAACACTGAAAATTGAATTGATTAGCTACTCAATTTAACATATGCTTCACACTGAACTGGGCAAAGAGGTCTGGTGGAAATGTATGTATGTGCACTGTACATATAGTTGTACTTAATATATGTATAGAACTTAATTAAAATCACATTAGCTGATCATCATGGCACCTGAACTGTTCAGCAGAGGCTACCATAGAGTCCAGCTAAGACTGTGTGCACCTCTTAACTGTAAAATCTTCCTTTGCTTTCCTTGAAAATGCTTTGATTCTGTGTATATATATTATGTCTTTGGCAATAAACACCAGTATCTTTCTTCATGTAACCCTAATTCAGATACCATCCCTACAAGCACTGAGACAGAAGTCCTGTGGGTACATTCATATATTTAAGTTGGTATTTTCATATATTGGATGACTGAAAACTGCAGAATTACTTTGATTCCAAAATCTGTAACAGTAGTAAAGTTCTCTTAGTGTATGGGTTATGTGTACATTCTTACATTTTAAATGCAGTCTGGCACATCTCAAAATCTTAGCATACAGTTTATCAAGCATCATTGGAGCTTTTAGGCTACTGCATGATGGTTTATTCTTTGAGCTAACTGAGAACAGTTGCTGGCTTTTTATTCATTAGGCAGGTAAGTCCTCTAGCAGGGTCTGGCGTGTAAGTATCAGCTGATCTCAAAGGAGGGAACCGTATTTAGGGTTCCTGGATTTCATTCTGTGCCCTAGATGGAGGAATGCACTGATTGTCACAGAGTCTCTGCCACAAACTCTTGTTACTCCTGGACTTCCACTCTTCCCTTCATCTCTTTTCCCAGCTTCTTTTGCATACGCTTCTATAGTCCCATTTTCACTAAAAAAATATGCTTCCAGTTGATTTTCTCTTTTGCTCATAATTCAAAACTTTTTACCTCCCATGTAGTATGGCTTTCTTAACCTTTAGTGCCAGCTGAGGTCTCATTTGAAACACCATTGATCAGGGCATTGACTGGGTCAATAAAATGTATACTACAATTTGACAGTTTTATCTGTCACTAACCTGATTTCCCTTGAATATTGTTGTTTTGCAATATGAAATGACATATAACTTCTGTAAAATATATGAAAAATAGAAACAGTTTGACTTCATTAGCAGCCAACTGCCTTTTTTTTTTTTCCCTTTCTTCCAGGAATCTATATCAACCTGCAGATTTGCACAGCGAGTTGCTCTTATTAAGAATGAAGCAGTTCTTAATGAAGAAATTGACCCCAGATTGGTGAGAGTTGTCTGGGGGCAGAGGGAAGGAGACTGCTTTTTTTAAGTTTTAATAATCAATACTAGTCAACTAGATGTTGAAGATTTTATACTGAATCATCCTATTAATTTTTCTTGTTGCAAGTTCCAATTTTTTATGGAAAATAACAACTTTTTTCTTTTGGTCATAATTATAGTTGAATGGACCTTTATAAACCTCAAAAGTATTCATCATCTCTTAAGACATCTGAGGAACAATGGTCACTTTCATTATCATCTTTGTGTTGCTTCTTTTCTTTTCTAAATTGTAGAAACAGATAATTAGATGTTCTCAAAACTCTAAAAATCTACTAAGGTTACTAGTCACTTGATGAAGGTACGCTGCTAAACTGAAACAGCTCTTGTACTAAAAAGCTAAGAAACACACAGATACAGGCCTTCATTGAGATTGGTCCAAAGAAGGCTTTTGCTAGGAAGAAAGAACTCTTTAAAATTACCATTAGGACAAAAGGAACTGAGATGTAGAAATAGGATTTTCACACTAAAGCATTAGGCTGGTGTTCACATCCCAAAGAGCAGCAGAGAAGCTCTGCAGACTGGATTGAGGATTTAGGAAGTACAGAGAAGGATAGAAGTAATAATCCACATTGGTAAAGCACAGAACATTTCTGCATAAAATACCCCAAGTTTCTTCTTTTAATGGGTAAAATTATTACTATATTTCTGAATTTCTCATGAATAATTTGTAATAACAAGTTTTATGTATTTTGTTCCCATATGACCCTCTGAACTAGCTAGGAAATGCTTTCTCCATGAATACTAGATTATATAACATAAGTATTTGTCTAAAAATTGAGGAATTAGATGATTGATCATTTAATTCAATATTACTGGATGGCAATTAACATATTTCAGTTACTGTTAATGATTCTACTTTTATTTTCTCTTGTCCTTGAAGTTCAAAGAGAATAGGAGATTCTTGTCAGATTATCTGCTGTTTTTTCTTTATTTTTTTGTTCTTTCCAAACAATTTCAAACAGTAACAGCATCACAAAAAAAATCCAAAACATAAACCCTGTAGGCACTGACAATTTCCTCATTTCTGTCTTTGTTTTTTTCTTTCCTACGTAGCCTTTATAGTAGCAAATCATGTTAAACTTTTCTTCCATGGCCACAGAAGCCTTTGATTGAGGGTAGAACACATGCAGGCTCCTGAACATTTACTACATCCTGTGGAGCTATACTCCACGAGTTTGGTATGTCTCACTCTGCAGAATCATTTAGCAAGTAAAGCAAAAGTGGACTGAGAGAGAGTTAGAAAAGCATCCCCCCTGGTGGAAGAGGCAGGGGAACACAGGTACCTAGACACTATATGGCTCTGTGCTCACTCTGGAATTTGGTGCCGGTGTTCTGAGGGTGCAACCTGATTGTTCAGTGAAGTGCTGGATTTACAATGAATGCATGCTTTATAAGGGAGTACATAATGCCTTTTGATAGAATCGAGTTAAATCTGACTGCTGTGTGTCGTCTTCATAATGGAGACTTCCTGACTGCGGAGCTTACTAAGATGATCTTCTACCTACTCTACTTTTTAAGCAACTCAGCTTTAAACCTCTCACTCATGACCAAAGGATTTGAGTTAAACTGAAAACTGATCTGTTGAGCCTGAATTAAATCTAATCCCCTCTGGCATTTATTTAAAAATAGAAATGAAAATATTATGCTTCTGTAGATTTTTGTCTTAATAATACTTGAAAATCAGTCTTTTATCCATGTCCTGAAAATGGCATTTCTGTTGTTGTCAGATTGAGGTTAATCATAAGATATTTCAACATTGAACAGGGGTGGCACTATCAGTTCAGCTTTCTGCCCTTTTATACTCCAGCCCCAAAGTTTATTTTATTGACTCAGTAATTGGCACAGACTACATCAGAGTGTGGCACCAGAGTGAGGCAACCTAAAATCAGGTTAAAATATTTAGCCTGCAATACTCTTGAACTCTTGCAACATCTGTAATTAACAGTTCACTAACTTAATAGATTAAGACTAATAGATTAATAGATTAAATAAAATATTATATACTGTATGTAGTGTAGAAAATATTATAGTAACAAACGTGTCATCCGTAAGTTTAGAGTTAAAAGAAATAATCGTATGTATGTTTAGAATATTTTGATTTTTAAGGAATAAATACTCATTCAAAGTTTAGGAAGTCATGGTTAAATTTAAAAGTTAAAAGAAACACAAATGTTTCAAGGAATTTTAACATCTAACTAAAATGTGACATCAGTTTCAACAGTCTTACTTCTAGGAAGTGCACACAATCAACAGTGGTTCATTTTTCCTTGAAAACATTCTGCTCCTAGAAACCTATTTTGCACGTGGAATCAGTGTACTCTTATCCATCTAAAAATATCATTTGACTCCTGATACGCTTGAACCATTATAAGGTGCCGCAACGTTAAAATGGTCAACTATAAAGTATCCAAGAACTAGCTCATTCATATTTTTTAGACTTAAGGGTTTGTGTATTGTCCCCACTTCGTAGAATTTGGCTTTGGAAAGACAATGATTTGTAAAATATAGTTTTATAGAAATATCTTTTCCAAAAGTACCAGCGTAAATAATGAGCTATTAGAATTTAAAAATCTAGTGCAGTTCTCCAAGTCACTTTCTCAGTCATAACTATTCTTTCATGCAAGTTAATTTCATCATATTGGTTTATACTGTTTGTTTGTTGTTAACAACTGATACATCCACCAATTATAGTATGCTATAATTCTAATGAGTGAAATGTTATGCAAGCAAGAAAAGCTAAGTTTAAAATGCTAAGATACGGTTTTAGTATTTTTGTATCTAAAGGGAAGGTAAATTAAAAAAAAAAAAAATCACTTTTGGTGTGTATTTGTCCCTTCTCCAACAAAGACATCAGTTCTATTTTAAATGTGTTTTCATTACTAACAGGCAAAACTAATGAGTCAGAAAGCATTTTTTTTTCTTCCCATGGCAAATTATTTTTCTCTTTTGCAAATAATCTTTTGAACTTTTTCTGTATAGTCATGTCTTCTAACATAGAATTTACTGAGTTTGGAAGACTTCTCTTGTTTTTGTAAATGGAAAAGGGGAAAAAAAAGTGCTTGGTGTATTCAGGGCATTTGGTCTGTTTTTTAAAAGGAGATGTTGTTTAAAAAAAAAGAGAAAACCGAACTATAATATTTCCTTAAACTCAGCCTTCTAATGCAAAAATCATAAGCTAGCTATTAATTTGTAGGTGATGCTTGGTTTATGCCTTGCTGTTTATAGATGATTGTCCAGCTGAAAAAGGAGATCCAGGAGTTGAAGGATGAGCTGGCGCTGGTGACTGGCAAACAAAGGACGTCAGAGCTTTCACAAGAAGAGCTGCTTCAGTAATGGCTTACATTTTTTTCATTTTCTTCTTTTGTGGTGATGCTTTTCATCAGTTTCTTTTTTGGAATAAATATTTAAATTCATCTCAGAGTTTTAAACTTCTCTGAGTGAATAATAAAGTGAAGTTAGGTGCCAGGTTATAATGGCAGTATTCCATGAAAAGCTGTATGAGGCTGCTGGCTGTGGTTTTGCAGCCTCAGCTTTGAGGAAGTGAAGCAAAGTAAACGCAAAGGATGGAAATGCCTGTCAGATGCCAGGCAAAAAGAAGTGTTGTATAATAGTGCAGAATGAAAAAACAGTCTCTCTCAAAACCGGATATATGATCCAAGTAGAATTCAAGAAATATTCTTTGTGCTGAGAAGTATCCTGCTGCAGTGTTAGTTTGACGTAAGCCAAGAGAAATCTTACATTTCTTGTACACAATTAATCAATGTCTTAAAAGCCAAATATTACATTTTTTTGCTGAGCATACTATTGAAAATGCATGATTAATTCATCTTACAGTTTTTTGTAACAGATCGGTACAGCGTGTAACAACTTTCTATATATAATGTAGAAATATTTACTTAAGTCTAAATATTCACATTAACTAAATTCAATTCACAGTTTTTCAAAATTGATTCTGTAGGATGGACCTATTTTGTCTCTGTGCCTCATCTGCATAAAGAAAATAGTAACTGCCTAGAGATTTTGTTTGGTTAGTATATTAATGGTAACTAAGTTAAAGCTGTGAGTATTTTTAGTCTTATTTTAATTTACCCTTGGAACTGGTCCAGAAGAAAGCTACCAGTGCTAACACTTTGCCCTGACATGCAGGAGGTTCTGGATACATGAGGAGAAGCTGCTGCCTTGAACCTTGAGTTTCTCATGTAGCTTGTTGTCATTATTAATTTTTGGGTTTGACTATTTTGGTTTATTTTTGTTCAGAAACTAAATGACATCCGTATCAAGGATGAGATGCTAGGTAGCATTATGTATAGATTTCTTTTACACCATTAATCTGAGTCATTATTAGCATAGGCAGTTACCGGTATAATCTCCCAGAAATGTCCCCTAAGTTCCCACTAGGTTAATATTTATTTATCACTCTGCCCAAAATTATGGGAGTCAAATGCACCAAGAACATTATAGAGCGGCAGCAGATGTGACAAAATCAAGCCAGAGAAAGAAAATTAAAGAAACAACAAGAATAGAGAGCTGTCTTTTCCTTTACATGAAAAATGGAGTGCCCTTATTAGCTAGTTTATGTTGACCCTGACGGAACTAGCCCATCAGAAGATGAATGACTCCCAATGACTTTATGCAGATGTACTTACATAATCTATGTATTCATTTAAAGATGTACTTTCCTAATATTATTGTAAAAATCGGTCACATAAGTTTTCTACTGTGGTCTTGTTTGCTGTTCTTTTTGTATAGGGAAACTGAGTTTATGGAAATCATTTAGGTTTTTTAGGCCATGCTCACGATTCTTACTTCCTAAAATTTCCGACCTTACTTTATAAGTAGTGGTCTTATAAATGGGAATGGATTCACAGTTGATGAAAGTTTTTACTATGAATATGCAAAGGAAAACTAGGAATGTACCATCTGCATACAGTTGCACTATCACATACCTCTGTCAGGCCTTGTTTCAGAAACGTGTGACTAAAAAGTGTAGCTGTTGTATGGTTTTCCTTTTTAGTTAGCACAGTATATAGTGTGTTACTATGGTCAGAAGAGATTCCTTCTGATATCATTGCATCCCATTCTTCCAGAAAGAAGCAGGGAGCAGACCTTAATGCATATCTACCTGTAATAAGATACAGAAGGAGAAAAAACTAGTTTTTTTCATTTATTTATGTTTAATCAGGCTCACGTAGCACATCTGCTCATTGTTTCAGAAATTATTTCTTTCTTGGAACGAATGCTCTGCACTTTAAGTATAGAACAAAATTTAGCACTGCTGACTGACATACAATACTTTTCCTGAGGATCAATAACAAATGAGGAACTCAACTAACCTCATCGGTCATAAATGCCATATAATGGCCTTGTTCAAAAATCATTATGTTTAATGTAGACTTAAAGTGGAAAAAAGAATTAGTTATACAGAGTTTTTTATGGGTAGCATATTTTCAAGCAGACATCAGAACTTGCTGATAGAGAATAACTGTCATATACATGAGTCAGACTCTCTTATTAATACTATGTGCTGTAGCTGCATGGAATGTTGAAAGAGAAGTCAATCTTTTTTAAACAGTTTAAGTGGGGGAGAATATGAAACAAGGTTTTAGGAGTTTTGCATTTTTTGTGTTCTTGTAATCAGAATGTTCACAGGTAACTGACTGATGTGGACTAAACATCCATATGAAAGTATGATGAAATGATAATATGAAAAGACACTACTTCAATGAACATATCTTTCTGTGGTTTTGAACACATATGTTTTGAGCTTGCTTCTGTATGACCATAATATTTGTGACCATGCTGGTTTACATCTGTCTGAACCTCCTGTCCATAAATGTCCTGGACATTTATGGAAATCTACAGATAACATCTAAGTGTTCTGTCTCCACTTAGAGTCTATCAATGCATAACACAACAAATCTTTATGACAATTCTGCTTATTGAGACAGGCCTTCTGAGTTTGGACGTACTCATTATCTGGAGAGTTTGTTCACATTACAGAATACATATACAAACAAGTAGTCCAAACAGAAGCATTGACCTGAATAAGGGCTGATAAAGTCATGATTTACTGTTACTGGAATATGTATATGTTGTGGTTTACATCTAATATTGTAATGAAAACCAAATAATATTACTTATCAAGAGGCATATGGATCAGATTGTTATGACAGAGAGAAGAGGAAAAGAAACATGGTATAGATGATCATGCATCATACAGTGTTGCACTTTTATTTAGAGTTGCCATCAAAAAATGGTTCGTAGGGGGATGGTGCTGTAGGGGCTTCCAGACAGAACAAGCTTATTTTGGTTTGGGTTTAGGCTTTTTCTACTATGCGAGATAAGAAATTGCAGTTAGGGTCATTGTGGATTTCAAACAGTATTTAGACATTTCTGCTTAATTTATCTTGTTTAAACTTAAATAAACTCTATCTTCACATGTATATGTACATGGGCATATATATATAAATAATCCAAGATATGTTTTACTACTACTTATTCTGATAGTTCATACATATTTCGAGTGAAGTCTGACCAAAATTACTCTGCTGAAAGGATTCTGTACCATTATTTTTTAAAATTTATTCTTTGATTCTGAACACAAATGATCAAAGGTAAAGAACATGTAAATTAAAAACTCCGTGGACTAAGTACATATTTATATTATGATCTCTGTAAAAGTCTTTCTCTCAGGCACTTTTCAGTAGCAGAAGCATGCCAGAAAGAAATTGGGTCCAGTGATACATGTCTAAATCCAATAATACCTTTTTCGCCTAATAAGATACTTATGTTGCAGGAAAGTAGTGTAAGTGATTGTGCTGGGTTTAATCAGGAAAGAGTTAACTCTCTTTACCGTGGCTGCTAGGTAGCTGTTTCCGGATGCAGAGGACAGACCTGG